GCCTGGTCAATAGGGGAGGAGGAACTTATCTGGAGAAGTCCATGCATGCAGCTCAATACAGGTTTGGAGCTGCAGGTTGCCAACAGGCTTCCAAAAGCATTATTAGGAAAGGTCTCTCTCCCTCCTGCCACTCCTTCTCCCCCCATCTCTGTCTCTCTGTCTCTCTTTCTCTCTCTGTGTGTTGCCCAAACCAAGCCAAGTTGCAGATAACTGAATTATTCTCTACTTTTCCCTGCCACATTAAGATGCTATCATGAATAAGTATAACCTAGGATTTCTGGCCTTGAGTTCACACTGAAAATCAAGAGTGCACTTTAGTTCAGAAGATGTGGGCTCCAAGCCTTGTTTCCTGTTTATTAGCTTGTCATCTTGACAAGCTGCTTGGCTTCTCTGCACAATCCCAGTGTGTACTGGAGCTGGGTTATTTTCGCTGGCTCACCTGATGTTCACAAGCATGTGCCCACTACTGTCACATGAGCTGTGGCATGAGTCTTTACATCACAGAAATTAGCAGATCAGCATTGCCTGCGACCACAGCATTTCTAAACACTCACCAGAACACCATTTCTGAATGGTGTAATGGTGCCTATGATGCATGCTTGACGAGCAGATGAATGGAGAGAGGGTTTGAGGGAGGCACGAAGCACTACACCAGCAGCGCTTCATCTCTCAAAATCAACCTCTTGCTGTCGTGACCCATGAGTTATATTGTTGAGACTGCTCTTTGGGGAGGCAGAAGCTGGTTTCATTCACTGTCGTGCAGCTTTGCGTAGCTCTTAAACCTCCTGGTATCTCTGGCGCAGGGTATGACTGGCAACAGTGCAGCCTGTCTTCCCAACACGAAATGTAAATTACATAGTCAGATGAGCTGGCCCAGATGACAAGGCTGGGTTGGCATTTGCACAGGCCTCCTTCCATGAGCCTCACTCACAGTGCCTTGCTGACTCCCTCCTGGTTTGGGTCTTATGTCTCTGACAGATGTGCTGGCTGAGGACTACCCTTGGAGTAGCAAGGTGTCAATTTGAAATCTTTGTGGCTTTAATACTTGGCACCTGGCCATTAGCAGCAATGAGGAAATCCATGTTGGAAGTGTGTATCTTTGGGAAAAGAAACACTGGTTTTACTTTTTTAAAAAAAGTAGCAGTGATTATCAGAGAGAGGTTGACCTAACTTCTGGTCATGGTTCTTTGAGGACAGCCAGAAAACTGAGTGATAGCATAGAGACCCAGTTCCTTTTGTGAAGACCCCAGCCCTGCTCTGTTCCCAGGATCCTCCACCGTTACAATGTTATGTGGCCAGGACAGTGCCCTTGCCTAAAAGCCATATGGCATACTTGGGATCCAGCCAGGCACTGCACTCAAATTAGCTGCCCCACTTACAGCACATTGCCTTCCCCATTACAGTCTCTACAGAGGGCCACCAGGGCCTTTTGTGATGCTGCCTTATTTGGATCACACCACACAGGCTTGGGAGCCTTTCTCTGCTCCCTCACAAAGGGCTCTGCCTCCTCCTTAGGAACCACTTTTCTGTGTCACATGATTGCAAGGGTTGGGTCTCCTGGAGGCTTTTCTATACCTTCTTAGACTGGTGGCTTTAAGACTGGGTCCCATGTGACTCTGGGCTCAGGGATGCTTTAATTATTAGGTCCCTTCCTTTATTTAGCAAGAATGTTTCCTCTGCAAAAAAGGTTAAGTTACATTTGTATGGATGCACTTTAAAATTATGCTTCACGCTTGCTAGGTGTGAAGCATACCAACAGAGATGCATCCTCAGGCCAATTAAAGCCATTTTTACATTACTTCAGGCAGTGACTACTACAAAACACTTGGATTCTAAAGGCTACTGACTAAAGGCCTAGCTTATGGAAAGACTCATTCCTTTACTTTTTAGGATTCAAAACCCAAATTAAAAAAACAACAACAATAAAATCCCAACTCTTTTAGTGAGATATTTCTCTGTCTCCCAGACCTCTTTGGTTCACCTCTACCTTCTTCTAACTCAGGGACAGTCACTTTCCCAAAGTGGGTGACACTTTCCTACCACTATCCGTCAGCTGTGGGGATGTTGACTTGGTGGCTGGGAGTGGTGGACACTGAGTCACCCTGGACCTGCGAGTGGGGGACACTGAGCTTCGTTGAGTGGGAGGTGGCTAGTGCCTCAAGGCTGAGCAGGGTGGCGGAGGTTGACAAACTTGGCTTTGGATCTTGGTTCCACTCCTCTCAGCCATGTGACCTCAGGGTAGCTCCCCTTCTGAGCCTTCTTGTGTCAGTGGAGCAAGCACGCATGCTCTACACCCCCACCCCCTACCCCCATCAATGTAAAAACTGCACAGGAGGATCCTATAAAGTCCAGGTTTATACCTATTAGGGATCATTATCCATTAAATACAGATGTGCCCTCAGCATCCAGCTACCAAAAGCTGAGGCCTTGACTCTTCCTTTCTCTGGATATGTATGTCTTTGTTTTCTGGTGGGTTCTCAAGATCTAGAAAGGGACAAGATGGGCCACAGTAAGGACAGGACAGGAAATCTGATGCCTGTCAGTGAGTGAGTTGAAAGCAAAGGTTAAGAAAGTTTCTAAGCTGACCTCTTAGGACTCAAGGCCAAGCACTCTCTAATCGCCTGGAGGAGCTAGACTCTTGGTGTGCAGAGGCACATGTTAGCCCTGACTGGACTCTTTCATAGCAGAGAGAATGTTGACCTTTAAACAAACAGCAGGCCAGGTAGGGACACAACTGGGCTGTATTCAAATCCATATACAACTCAATTTTAAAAGTCATATAAATAATATAGTACAGATTTCAGTATCTATGGCAGCTAATACAGTAGGTGGTGGTGGTGGTGGTGTGTGTGTGTGTGTGTATGTGTGTCATACATTAATTTAAAATTTCATTGAAGATACGTCACCTGACTTTTTGTACCCAAATGTTAGAAAGAAAGGAAGGGAGAAAGAACCTTGGAACAGTGACGTTTACAATTTTCTTCTCATACCAGTTTATCCCTTTGAGTGTTGCTGTGTAACCACAGGAGAAACCAAACTATATGAAGTTTGGCTAGAATGCAGCAAGTTCCCCTGAGCATTTCACAGGAGTGTCAGCCAACCGTGAACAGCTAAGGACGGACTGACCTGAAGGCCTGGTTTGGGTAAACTAGGCAAGCTTAGCTGTCATTGGACATGTAATCAAGGTGACATGCAATTGAGGTCATGATGACCAGGGCCTGAAGGCTCTGTCTAGACTCTAGCATGCAAATGTTTTTTTTTGGGGGGGGGTTTCATTATGGATCCCAGGTTGGCCTCAAACTCAGGAGGCCTGCTTCTGTCTCCTGAGTGCTGGGATTAAACATGTGCACCACACCTAACCTTCTGTCTAGGCTCCAAACAGTAGACCCCATGACAGCAGAGGAAAAACAACCATCATGCTCACTGCGTGCACACTGGTGTCCACTAAAATTTCCAAACTAAGTTCTTTGGGATAGGGACCAGAGATTTAAATGCCTGAGCTAATTTGAGACTCAGAAATTCAGTGGGTGCCTGACGGATCACGGATACACACCTCTAAGGAGATGCTAAAAGAAATCTCCAGAAAGTTCTTCTGGCTCAGGTCTGTGGTCTTCAGCCAGGACTGTCTCCTGACTCTTGGAATTGCAGAACCCTCACTTCCCAGGTGGCTTTGTTGGGAAACAAAGCAACAGCTGAGGCCTAAAATGGTCTGGGCTCCAGCCAAGCCCCTGGAGTGTGCAAGGGAGGAGGGTGGTGGAATTCAAGCAGAGCTTCTGCCTCTATCTGTGCAGTTTGAGTTTCTGCAGAAGGAGAAAGGCTGTGTATGAACACAGCTCTGATGCTGTGTTCCACTTACTCAGAACCCACTTATTTCCCCCTAATGAAGAACCAGAATGTGACATTCAGGCAGCTGCCTGTTGCAGGGTAGGGATGGCATGGAAAACAGCAGCCCCCAAGAACCTGGTGTTGGCTCCTGATTTCCAAAGCCGAGGCTGTTTGGGGGAAAAGACCAAGAATAACAGAAACCCAGAACTCCACTGAGTGGACGAACACTTCCTACCACACAGACAAGCCAGGGTGCTGGCTAAGTCAGCCATTAGTCCTCAGAACTTCTACATGGTGGACTCTGTAGCTCTGCCCTCCTTTCCTTACTTGGTTGGGATGGAGGCCTAGCTGGACTCTGAATCCTGTCGGGGGTGTTTTTGTCTTTTTGATCATTTTAAATTGTGTGTGTGTGTGTGTGTGTGTGTGTGTGTGTGTGTGTGAGCACCATGTGTATATGAGTATGTATGCACCTGGAGTGCAGTAGAAGGAATCAGATCTCTGGAGCTAGGTACGGGGAATTGGGCTAAGGTCCTCCGAAGAGCAGCAAGCTCTCCTAACTGCTGAGCCACCTTCCCAGCTCATGGAAGTTGGTTTTTATTAACAGAGAGCAGGCCTGTTTTCTTGAGAGCCAGTCCAGAAGCAACTGAGTCATGGATCTTGGTTTAGAATGGGCTTCCCTGTGTCCCTTCAGCACACGACTTTAAGAAGGACTTCAGTGTGTCTATGGGATTCCCCAGGAATGGAGGTTCTAGTGTCAGCAATAATATGAGGACCAATGATTTGACCAGATGGTCAGTGGTCACCTTAACAGACATGACAGCCACTATAAACTGATGATGCCGAAGTGCACTGTAACCCTGCTCCTCCCCCTGCATCTCTCTTTGACAGCCAGGGAAAAAGTGTGTCCAGACTTCTCTGCCTTCTGTTCTCACTGTTGACTTGCCATGAGGCACCAAAGCAGTGACATGTGCTCGCAAAGCCACAGAACCTGAGTACCATGCTCGGCCCTAGAGCAGCCACAGTAGCAGCCTCCTCTCTCCCCACCCACTTTATAGGAAAAGCAGGAGGAGATTGGGCAATCTACTGCTGGCAGTTCGAGGCAAAGCCAGGAAAGGGGATGTGTTCGAAGTATGTTCCGATGAGGCAAGGAGCTGGGCAGTTGGTGTTAAGCATACGTTGTGTTAGTCTGGAATCTGTTAGTCTGGAATCTGCACACCAGGAGAGCCACAGGTCCTATCCATCCTGGAAGGTCTCCTAGGTCCACATAGGCCAAGTAGGCCTGCTTCACTTCAGTCCTGACCGCCAGTCAATTTGTGAAAGAGGTCCTCATCAAGTGTTTCATTTTGGTCCTTGGATCGGGTGGACAAGAAAATGTAGCCACCTATGTACTCGTGCACGATCTTGCAATCTGCACTTAGGCAAGTGAACGCGATGGAGACATTTTGGTCAAACTCGATTGCCACCTGGAAAAGTAAGCCATGGATAAACTTAAACTCTGACATGGAAGGACGAAAAAGCAGCTGTTATGCTTGGGGTGGATAGTCTCCCCCAAAGCTGAGGAGTACTGAGGTCCCCAAAACACAACACAGAAAACGTCTTTGTGAAAAATGCCTTTGCTCTTAGCGCCCTCTTGTGGTATTAGCGCTGATGAGTGCCTTTGCTCTTTTAGAAGTGAGAACTCACTCCCTGTGTGGAGGGGCAAGCTTTGTGGACCATCCGTTCCCTCATACTTTCCTACACACTCCCCTTTTCTGGTCCCCCTCGCCTTCTGCCCTCCATTCTCACCCACCAGAGCTCCCAATTTTCTCAGGAGATTTTGTCTATTTCCCCTTTTCAGGGGGATCCGTGTATGTCTCTTTTAGGGTTCTCTTTGTTACCTAGCTTCTCTGGGGCCATGGGCTATAGGCTGGTTGACACCTAATATCAACTTATGATTGAATACATACCATGGTCGAGATGGGGAAGGACAGAGAAGGAGAGCAAGGACAGAGATATTTTGATTGAGGGAGCCATTTTGGGGCTAGTGAGAAACCTGGAATTATAGGGATGACTCCAGCTAAGACCCTAAGCATTAATGGAGAAGGTACCTGAACTGCCCTTCCCCTGTAATTAGATTGATGACTAACTTAATTATCATCATAGAACCTCCATCCAACAACTGATGGAAGCAGATGCAGAGATCCACAGCTAAACACTGGGCCAAGCTTCCAGTCGAAGAGAGGGAGGAGCAAAGAGGTCAAGGTCATTTTGGGGATACCCACAGAAACAGTTGACCTGAGCTAATGGGAACTCACTGACTCGAGACTGACAGTGGGAATCTGCAATGACAGGTTGGGTGACAGTTGTGTGGCTTGGGGAGTCTGTGGGTTCATTGGCAGTGGGACCAGGATTTATCCTTAGTGCTTGAACTGGCATTTTGGAGCCCATTCTCTTTGGAAGAATAACTTTCTCAGCCTCGATGTAGGGGGGAGGACCTTAGTCCAGTCTCAAAGTGATATGCCAGACTGTTGACTACCCATGGGAAGTCTTAACATCTTTGAGGAGTGGATGGGGGTGGGGGTGGGGTGGGGGGATGGTTGGGGTGTCATGAGGAGGGGAGTGAGTGAGGACTGGAATTGGTATGTGAAATGAGAAAAGATTATTATATATAATAATCATACATACATACATATGTATACACACACATACACACATATATGAGATTTGAGGACTCTTATGTTTTGTTTGTTTGTTTTTTGAGACAGGGTTTTTCTGTGTAGCCCCGGCTGTCCTGGAACTTGCTCTGTAGACCAGGCTGGCCTTAAACTCAGAAATCTGTCTGCCTCTGCCTCCCAAGTGCTGGGATTAAAGGAGTGTGCTAGTTAGCTTTTAACTACCGCTGGCTAGCTTTGTGGACTCTTTAAGATGAGGTCTCCCTGTGTGTAGCCTAGGCTGGAAGCCCTGAACTTGCAGCGATCCTCCTGTCTCAGCCTCCTGAGTTCTAGGATTATAGGTGTGAGCCACCATTGTGGGCAGCAGACTCCTTAATGGAGAAAGAAATGCCTGTCTTAGTGTTCCATCAGCCACTGCCCTTTATCCTTTCCTACATGAAAGCCGTCTAAGTTCTAAACACCAGAAGACCCAGAGAATGGCCCAGTCTCACCTCTCCACCCCCGGAGTTCCCTGCAGAACTTTAACAGTGACTGACACTCAATTCCCATTGCTGGACAGTAATATTAAAATGCTTTAAGATGTTAGATCCATTTTCTGGCCTTCATTTGATGCATGTGCGCCCAGATGGTTAATATTGCTGAGGGGAATCCAGCCTTCTGAAACATAGCAATGGTCTACTGCTCCATTATGTTACTGGTTTTCTTTTAGAGAAGTGTGAACACAAAAGGAACAATGGAAGACAGATTCTTGTGTATTTATTTTGGTGTGTGTACATGTATGCACCTGTGTGTACCTGTGTGCACACATGTGGAGGTCAGAGGACATAGTCAAGTGTCTTCCTCTATCACTGACTACTCATTTCTTTGAGACAGAGTCTGTTGTGGAACAAAGGCCCCATGTGTGAGCAAGCATGGCTGTTCAACAAGCTGCTGGGATGTGCCTGACTTCACTCCTCAACGCCGGGGTTACATGCATTTATAGTCATCCAGATGTTTTACGTGGATGCCAAGGATTGAAATCCAGGTCTCTTGTGCTAACGCAGCATGTGCTCTTAACCCATGAGCCATCTTACCACCACCAAGGTGGATTTTTATATCAGCAACATCAAACTCTTCTGCATCATCAGTAGGATTCCAAAGCCTCTCTAACTTGATCTAGAACTTTCTATGATGTATGCTTTGCCTATATGTAGTTCCTGGGATGTAAAATGATGGATGCTGTTACATAGCTGTGGGCTCAAGAGCTCGTCTCATAGGAGAAGATTTTCTTGGGCCTTCTCTAGGTATCTCTATTGCTCCTTCAGCACTATTCCTCTTGTGAGCCTGGAATGTTCTCTGGGTAGGTGACTGAGCTGGTGGGTTCACACACAACTCTGGCTCTTGGCAGTTAGATGAGGCCCCTTTTTGGCTTTGTTTTGTGTGGCATTTCATCTATGGTAGTTTCTGCTAAGCAATGGTTATGCTCAATCATATATAATCCTATGGTGAGTTTATGAAAATAAAACAAACGGTTTTATAATCTGTCTCTAGGGAATGTCTTCACAGAGCTAAGCCAATTGGCAGTATTGACTGAAGAACTCTGGGCCTAGATTTGTTAGGAAACTGCCCAGAAGTATATACTAGTATTTTAACAGGCTATGACCACATGCCCCACTCACGGGTAATGTGAACCTCTGAGAACACATAGTCGTGGGTCAGCTCCTGCCTCACCTGCCGGATTTCCCAGTTGACATTCCACTGTTTCATGTTGGCAAATCTCCATGTTGTAACTGGGATCCCGGTGATGGCATCAATTCTAATCAACCTGTTGTATGAAACTCCCAGAATGTCATCTTTCTTGCTTCCTTTAAACCTGAAAACAATAGTATCAATTAAGAGAACAACTATTATCCACATATACTTATTGTTGTCTGTGTGCATGGTGTGTATGTGTGGGTGCAAAACACACATGTGAAGGCCAGAGGACAACTTTATGGAGTCAGTTCTGCCCTTCAACCTTTATGTGGGTTCCAGGGAACTCAGGTCAGCAGGCTTCGCAACTTTCCCTGCTGAGCCAGCTCACCAGCCCCACATTCTCAAAGGTCACATTGTAACATTTCTGAATTATCTCAGAAGAAAAGACAACAAGTAACCTACATCCTAAAGAAGGGCACTTTGTGGTGATAAAGAAGATATGCAGAATGGGAGGGAGGGAAGTAAGGCTTTCCCGGAGACATTCTTTAAAAGAAGATGACATCAGAGGAAAATGAAATCAGAGGAAGTCAAAGCACCTCACACAAAATTAGGCTCAGGCGGTAGAATATTCATGGCCAGTAAGGGGTGAGGAACACGAAGAAGTGAAATTCGTGTGCCAGATTAGATGATAGAGGGAGCCAAGCACAGAGGTGATAGGGAGTTCTAGCATGAGCTCATTACAGTTTTAGACAGAGGTCAGAGAGGAAGGTGACAGAACCAAAGAGCTGATGCCCAGGAGTGAATAAGCCTTGTGGGCATCTAGGAGGAAAAGTATTGCAGGCAGAGAGTACAGCCATTTATGTGTATGAATATACTTAAAGATTACCAGGAGGCCAGGGTGACTGGCACAGCATGAGGAGGGAAGACAGACACAGAGAGCTAAGCTGTATAGACATTCTGACTCCGAGTGGCACAGAAAGATGCCAGGTGGCTTAGTATGGACTGCCTTCAGTTTTACAAGAATCACTCTGGCTGTGATCTTAGAAGACAAGGCTAGAAGCATGGAAACCAGGTAGGGTCACCCTGGCAGTGGCCAGGTGTTGGTGAGATTCTGTGTGTGCTCTGATGGCAGAGATGGTAGGATTTGCCAGTATACATACTGTCAGTGTGACAAAAACCATGGAGCCAGGGATGACTTGGGGCACATCTACAAGAAGAGTTTCATTTAGTAAGGTACAGAATAATTGAACAGGGCCAGCTTTGGCCGGTGGGTGGGGGGAGCGGAAGGGGGCGGGATAGGAGTTCTGGACATGGTAAGATGAGATGCGAACTCATAGACACCCTGTTGTGGTTGGATGGGTGAATCTGCAGTTTAAGAGAGGGTTTGCAGCTCAAGATATGCCTCTCATAGCAATAACTCCTTATATAAAGGAAGCCAAATGAATGGCTGAGCTATAGTGTAAGGAGTGGTTTAAGTCCCATGGGCTTATGATTCCAGTATTCTAGGATCCTGGGGAGACAAGAACAAACCAGAAAAGAGTAAAAGAATTGGAGAGGGAGGGAGGAAGGTACCAGGGAGGTCTGCTGTGAGGGAAGTCTAAGTCCAGGGGCAAGGCAAGCTTCTGTCTTGTGGCACACATGCTTAGAGTTAGCCACTGGATTCAGCAAAGGTCAAGGGTGACCAGTGGATGACCTTGATGACAGCAAGTAGAAGGCTGTGGAGTGGGAAAGGATAGGCTTGGAGTGAGTTCAAGAAGAGAAGGAACCGGGACACTATATATAACATGCTGGAGAAATTCTGCTGGGAAGGGAACAGACATGGGCTGAGCAGGCTGATACCAGTTTGGATGTTATAGAAAAGAAAAAAGCAATTTGTGAAAAATTCTTATTGAACAAAATACTTTTCATCTTTCTTATCTCATACCTTTGATTAAAATTATCTTTCTAGGGTCATTTCTATTCTTTTCATTGTTCATTCTGTTACCTTAAAGAAATAAGTAAATAACTTAAAGACATGGTCCTATATAGTCCAGGCTAATCCTCCGTCTCTCAAGGACTGAATCTCTCAAGGATAACAAGTCTGTATCACAATGCCCAGTTTTAGGAAGAATTGGGAATTGAACTCAGTACATGCTAGACATGCACTGTACCTCCTGAGCTACACCTCTAGTCATTCAACATTTAATATCACAACACATGTCTTTCTTTAGTGGATGAAACCATTTTGGGCTTTTCTCTAGCTTCCAGGAAGTTGTGAAGCATGTACTCAGTCTTCTTAGGATGACCAGGTCTCTGCTATTGCCTGTCATTGATAGGAGATGTTATTATGTATGTATGTTTCTCACACTGGTTAATGAATAAAGCACTGTTGGCCAATGGGAAAGAAAGATAGGAGGGGCTAGGAGACAAGGAGGAAAGAGGAAGTAGTGAGGAGGAGTCAGCATGGAGAGACCGGGGAGACCAGACGCCTGCCTCACTCCCAGGTAGGTGATACCACGTGGAAATACATAGAAATGGGTTAATACTTAAGACAGAGCTAGCGGATAAGAAACTAGTACCTGGCCAACAGCATTGTATCAAATACAGAGTCTCAGTGTGTTATTTGGGGCAGGACGGCGGCGGGACAAGACAAGGTGGCCAGCGGAAAAAACTTACTCCTTACATATGGTGCCCACGTGGCTAACTTCCACTTAAAATTTAACAAAAGCTTAAAAAAGGGTTTTTTAGAAACAAAAGAACAGAGATATGCAAGGTTTCTTGGTAGCAGCATTTTTCTTGGTTGGATTCTGCTTTGCGAGAGACAAGCAGATATTTGCAAGGCTCCTTTAAGAGAGGTTTCCTAACTCAGCTTAAGCGGCAAAAAACCGCACGGCTTTAAAAAAGCACTGCTAACAATTTATTGGTGTGTACGAGAGCTGGCAATGGCAGTGACCACATCTCCAAGCCAGCAACATGCTACTGGATGGCAGCGCAGACTGAGGCAGTGACCACAGCTTTCAGTGCTGGCAGTAAAAGTACCTGCCGCCATCTTTGATAAACTGCAGCAGAAACAACTATGACTTTCATTTTAGCAATGTTAGTGTTTAACAAATAAAAGACTCGTGGCCAGAAAAAGATAAACATTTACAGTAAAGTCAGATTCATATTAAGAAAAACCTCTAAAGGTTTACAGTGTGTTTTAAAATATATGTAGACATGGGAGAAAAAAAATATTGAAATGGTTTTAAAAAGACAAAGAAAAGCTGGGTATGGTGGCACACACCTTTAATCTCAGCACTGGGGAGGCAGAGGCAAGCAGATATCTGTGATTTCAAAGTAAACCTGATATATATAGAGTTAATTCCAGGGCAGATAAAAGTTACACAGAGAAACCCTGTCTCAAAAAATAAAAAAATACAAGTAAAAAAAAAAAACCAAAATAATAAAAAGGCCACATAAAGATGGAAAGAATCTATATACTGTATGGCATTATATTGTCTTTTTATTGTTTGACTGCTGAGGAAACAACAACTGTTAAAGTAAATACTGCTGGATTAATTCAGTTCATATATTTTAAAAATGCTTTGACTTCAAAATTTAAGTCTAAGGACAAGTTACTAGGGAAAAGGATTTCTATTTTTGTTTCTACAGAAAATAAAAAGCTGTGGATTCCTTCCAGACTAATGTGGTTTGATCAAGGAAGACCCTCTGAAACAGAGTTGCTGGTGATCCAACATTCAAAACAATTTGGATAAAGCAGCCTTGCAGACTACAACCAGGATTTCATCTTCTTAGGATCCCCCATGACAGTGCCCCCTATCAGCAGGAAGTAGTTTGGAAAGAACGACACCCAAATTCCCAAATATTGTTTATAAATGTTTGTTTTCATTTAAATGGGGTTGGTTATAAATGGTTAATGATCACAGCCAATTCTTTTTAAAGGTAAAAAGGGGATTATGGTATAGATATGATTACTTTGTTTTGGAATGGATTTTTATTTATTGATACAATTTAAGATCAATTTTGTGATGTGTATGTTTCTCCTCGTTTAGGTACTTTGTTTTTATAGCTCATTTAGAAATGTAATGTATAATGTAGTATAAATTATAGATAATTACCTATGATAGTCAAAGTTTAGAGTTAAGTTAGTTAGGTTTTTCAAGATACACAGAGATGTATTTGAGATAGATAGGAATTCTTCAAACCTTTCAAAGACCTGCAGAATATGGCATTTAAAATAGTTTAGGATTTTTCTTGACAGTGAGACATAAATGCTCTTGGCAACACCACCTGCACCAGAAAGGAAGATGACCATCGAAGAAACGCGGTTATGAAGTTTACTTCCAATAAGGCAAGACTAGCCATTTGGACAAGATACTGCTCTTGTCTGGACTGTTTGACTTTATGCTGTATAAACTGGACCTGCAGGACCCACAGAAAAGTGACTGCTGATTCAAGATGGACATTGCTACAGAGTTCCTACTTCATGGAAGAGTCTGCCAGACAGTCTGCAGGACACAGAAAAAAGTGACTGACAAACAGCCAATACAAGAAGACAGTTTAAAGTTTCCTGCTTTGCTGAAGAGTCTGCCAGACACACTATGGCCTATGGGCTGAAGATGGAAGATTACAGAAGAACTTCAGGTGACTGACAAGGCAAGATGTCTCTGTCATTTCTAGAGTTTATATACTATCCTTCTGTGGTCTTTGAGGGAGTTGAAGACAAATAGTTATGGTTATAGTTTTCCTTAGTTAGGTTTAAAGATAAGTTACATATGGGACTTTAGACTCACAAATATAGGATAGATGATAGAATAGTTTCTTTTAATCTTGCTAAATGTTAATGAATAAATATTGTTAACTGTGATTCTTACTTGATAACTGTTGTGTTATATATTTTGCTATGTTAAAGTCAAAACCCTTCTTTTTATTGAGACAGAAAAGAGGAGATGATGGGAGATGTCATTCTGTATTTATGTTTCTCATACTGGTTAATGAATAAAGCACTGTTGGCCAATAGGGAAGGAAGATAGGAGGGACTAGGAGACAAGGAGGAAAGAGGAAGTAGTAAGGAGGAGTCAAGATGGAGAGTTTGGAAAGAGCTGGACACCAGCCGACTCTCTGAGGGTAAGACGAGACCACGTGGAAATACGTAGATTAGCAGAAATGGGTTAATATTTAAGACAGAGCTAGCCAATAAGAAATAAGTACCTGGCCAACAGTATTATATCAAATACTGGGTCTCAGTGTGTTATTTGGGGCTGGCGCAGCAGCGGGACAAGACCAGCGGCGGGCGGAAAACCTTAGTCCTTACATGTCATCCTACACAGGGGGTCCACATTAGCCCTTCCTTCTAACTAGCCCATGAAACCACAGATTTTCTAAAACTAAACCTTGTGCTTCTACCTCAACATCTTTATAAACAAATCTGAGAAGCTACAGGTGTAGGCGCTGACTGGGACAAATGGGCAAAAAAGGAGAAGTCATGACAAGGAGTAAACATCCTGGGATATCTGTGCAGGGACTGCCCACACTGTGCAATTAATTACCATGTGACTCACACTGTTTCCCTGTTGGATTTGCTCAGCAGAGCAGGTCCAGATGCCCGCAGACATGCCCCAAAGCTGAATCTTGGGAAGACCAAAGCAAATCCCCAGGGTCAGAAGCTAGTATGGGGAGAGGTGGGACTGGCTGCTGGGCCTGGTTGGTTTAAGTATCTCTGCTTTCTGCTGTGTGGTGCTGACCTGTGAGTTACAGGTAAGTCAATGCCATGTGTGCACCATGTGCATGGCATGTGTGCTAATACGTGACTATCCAATATAGCTTTGTCCCCTCTCCATCTTTTTTTCCCTCTGTAATTGGGATGGAACCCAGGGCCTGAACATGTACTCTACCACTGTGCTATATCCCTAGTCTCTGATGCTTTGAGATTGTCTGGCTATGTAGCTCAGGCTGGTCTTCAGTCAGCCTTAAACTCATGATCCCCTTACCTTTGTCCTGATTTCCAGGCTGATAATGGTGTGCCACCATGTAGCACTTCCTTTACTCTTTTTGTTATGAATAAAGCATAAGGGATTTTTTTTTGGTAGTTGTTATGTGGTGGACAAAGAGTGTAAGCAAAAGTTAAATGAGATATGAACAGAAGTGAACAGAAAAGTATGAACACATTCCCTTGCCAGCAGAGGCAGGAGGAACCAGATTTTTTGGAAAGAACTAAGGGAAATTGTACTTGTGTATATGGCTGTGTCTTACAGTGCAAGCCCATCAGCCATGTTATGAGATTGTGACACACAGTTTGCTGTGCCAGAGGATAAAGCATGCATTTTGCTTAAGTACCGGTCTCCCTTACTTAAAAATGTGGACTCAGGTGGCTTAAAAAAAGAGTACTTGAAGTTGGGAAAATGATTAGAGGGATCTGGGAGGGTCTGGAGAGGAAGGAGTGGGCAGAAGGTGGATTTGATTAAGCCTGTCTATGGACACATTTTGGAGAAGCATCCTTTATATGATAGACACAGCCAATGTATCAGTGCATATTACCAATGTCAGCATTCCTGACTATTGGGTTGAACTTGAACAAATTGTGTAACTCTTTTCTTCTCATTTGTAAAATACAAGAAGGTTGTAATAGATGAGTCACATAGAGGGCATTCAGACCCAGAAATCTTCTGTGAGTCACAGGAACACTATCTTTTCTGGAATATTTCTGGGACATATGTCTGGAAACCCCAAAACTACAAAGCCACACATGGACCACACTGTGAGATACATAGCAGGGAGAGAAACTGGACATGAAGGGAGGTCACAGATCGCACAAACTCCTTTTGGTTTGATTTGGTTTGGTTAGCCTAAAAGAACAAAATTTCTTTGTTCTTTTCCTACACTTTGTTCCTTTCCTACACTTAGCTTGGTTTCAGGGAGTGCGGACTCACTGAGCAGAAGGTATGGAAGATTCGTAAGGGCAGTCAAAGTACTTGGATCATTTGTGAACTTGAGCATTCTAGACAGAACAGAGTAGGCTTCCCTTCAGCCATTAATGGCTGAAGGGAAAGTAAAAGGCATGTGGATCCTGTAATTACCTCACAAGGTAGTAGGTGAGGCCGAACTCCGGTAAGGACTGCCATGCTTGGATGAACTGTAGTTTGGCTTCGACCAGAGGCATCTGGGCCACATTATGGTGAGCTTCCAGGATCCGAGCTGCCAGCTACACAGAAAGAGGAGACATCAAACTCTGTTTTACATTTGCTAATTGCTTTCTAATCATTTTTCTTGCTCCAGATTCCCACTGAGAAAAATAAACAGGGCTCCCCTGAACTCTGAACAGATGGCCCATCCTATTAATTAACTAGTTAGTTAATTCACTTTCTCCTTTTTTGCAGAGTTGTACAAATCACTGAGCAGAAGGATGGCCAAAACCAGGCAACACATGCCCACTTCTAAGGTTTATGCAAATGGCTCTCTTTTCAGTGTTGATTTCACTGGAATAGGTTCACCTGTCCAGTCTTCACTGTGGGATATTCCCTTACATTGTGTGAATGTGTGTTGCTGTGGTTGGTTTAATAAAGAAGCCGACTAGCCAATAGCTGGACAGGCAGAAGTTAGGTGGAACTGGCAGACAAAGAGAGAAAGAGTGAAGAAGAGGGAGAGAAGATGCAGAGGAAGCAGGAGATGAACTTGCTATACTGGAAAAAGGTACCCAGCCATGTGAGAGAGCATAGATAACAAACTTGGGTTAATTTAAAACGTAAGAGTTAGATAGTAACAAGCCTGAGCTATTGGCCGAGCATTTACAATTTGTAATAAGTCTCTGTGTGATTATTTGGGAACTGGCTGGAGGGACAGAAAACCCCACCTACATTTAACCTATTCTATAGTATCATAATTTCGATTCTTAATGGGCTTATCCTTAATTAAATTCAACTCTATACTATTACTATATTCAGTCAGCAGTCAAAATAATCTCTAACAAAATCAACAGTAATCCTGTCACACTGTCTACTACCCAGTACATTGTCAAATGTCTCCATTTTTTCATGATGACGGCCTTAATTGAATGGAGTCCCTTTTATTTTAGAGTGTAAGTACTGTATACAGACAACAAAACAGACCAGAACCTGTTTAGACTTGTGCTTTTTTGCACAGCGAGGTGATACTAAACATTCCGGGTTCATATCCATGCTTTCCATACTGGAAGCCACCAGAGGCGATGAGTTCCGGTTTTTCATCTTCAGAAACGAAAGGATGCTGATGACCTCTGGCTGATAGGAGCTGTCTGCCATGGTTTTACCCTTTGAGGCTAAGATGCAGGCAGCCATCCACCGGGCATATTGATCCTCCTGAAACAAATGCGAGGGTTTAGCAGCCAGTTCACCAATGGAGCCAGCCTGTCACAGACCAGCAGAGACTGATACTGGGGTTCAAACTTCAAGCTGAATATCAGAACAGCAAAGCAGCTGGCCACCAGTTTCTTATCTCTGCCTCAGAATGAATGGGCTGATCCTGTTTCCACGAGCTCTCACCAGACCTCAGACTGGAACCTTTCTCTAGCGTGGCTGGAGAATGAATGCTCTCTCTTACCTTGCTTCTTCTGTCTTATATACTTTCCTAATGTTGGGATTAAAGGTGTGACCTATAACTCCCTTTTAGACTGACTCACTCTTGTGCAGATCTGGATGGCCTTGGACTCACAGAGATCCGTCTATCTCTTAATCTTGAGTCCTAGCATTAAAGGTGTGCACCACTATCTCCTAGCTTCTGGTTGCTGGGATTAAGGGTGTGTGCCTGACTTCTATGGCCTGTGGCTGACTTTGCTTTCTGAATCCTCAAGCAAGCTTTAGTAAGTCATAAACAATATCACTATAGAGATGGGCTCCATAGTTGATCTTAGCAAAAAGGGTGAGAGTCAAGGGGCTGTGATACAAAACTATTGTTTTCCAATCAAGGAAAGATGAGAAGTGACACACTCTCTGAGAAGCCGCTGACCACTGAAGGTAAGTGTGTCCTGTCAGCTTTGAACCATTCTGCACAAGGAACTCTGTGCAAAAAGGATGCAAGGAGACAAAGGGATCCTGAGCAGTGCAGACAAATGAAGCCCAATTTCCTGAGACTTTCACAGACACGATTTCCATCTTCATAACATGGGTGTCACAGGCGATGAAGGAAACCCCTACCCCTAGCTTTCTGTATTATTTGTATCCTCATCTATCCATGTAAAGACTGTAACTCTAAGGAGACAATCGGTGCCTTGGATGGGATTTGAACCAGTCAGTGGTAGCTTCTATTACTCTTTAATGCCTGTGCCAGGTAGCCTGGGACCCAGCATAAATAAAATCAGCTCAAACTGAAGAGAGGAGCCAAGTCTACATAGACACATAGTTCAACAAGATGCAGCCAGCTAATACCAGCCTGGAACATCAGACTCCCCCAGCCCAAATTCAAACATTTTCAGAACACCAGGAAAACACGGCTTACTATGTCTGCTACAGAGAAGCAACTTGAGATACTCCCTCTATGGGGCTACTATTTACTATAGTCATTATTTTTCCCTTTCAGTGCACAATTCAATACATCACACACAGCATTTAGCAGTTACTATAATCTAGGCACTGTTAGGTGGTTTAGTCTATGTGCAGGCTAATGTGTTCTGAGCATGCCTAAGGTAGGCTTACTTGTGATCATTGTAGGTCAGCTGTTTTAAATGCAATTTTGGCTGAACAGTAATTTTAATTTATGATGTGTCTGTGTGTTTTGCTCTTAGTATTAATTGCTTGTTTGTTTGTTTATCTAGTTTGGGGGCAGGTGCATGTATACCCTGACATATGGGTGGAGGAGGTAGATGGACAGCCTGGGGCAGCCAGCTTTCTCTTTCCACGGTGAGTTCTGAGGATCAAACTCAGACCATCCCATTTGGCAGCAGGCACCTTCCCTCACTGAGCCATCTCACCAGCCCCTGCTCTTAGTCTTAATACATGGGAACTGATGAGATTTAGTAGCTTTACTTACATGGTCACATCTCAAATACACTTCGTTCATACCATCAGCAACGGGGATTAGTAACTTGATTCCGAATTTCCTCCCAGCCACATTCACATCTGGCGCAATTTCACAGCCTGAAGAACAATAAGCAGGGGCAAAATGGAGCTTTGAGAAATCTGCTGTAATAAACACCAACGTATATCTACAGCAAAGACATAAATGACCACAGGCCAAAGCGGGAGGAGCAACCAACAGCAACAATTCCAGGAACAACATGGATAAAGAAAATGATTTTATTATTTTCTTTAAAAATCAATTGATTTCATTTTTAGGATGATATTGGCTATCTTGTTAGGAACGATTAGAAATATATATGTGTGTGTGTCTGTATTTTTCTTTCTTTTTTCTTTTCTTTTTTTTTTTTTTTGAGGCAAGATCTCAGTGTGTCCCAGGTCAGCCTTGAATTTGCTGTGTAGCTTAGGCTGGCCTTGAACCCGTAATCCTGTCTCAGGAGGTTAGCCCCACTCCTGGTATGAATAAAATTTTTAAAAGAGAAGAAAGCAGAAGCGATTCTCTGCTACAGTGATGGCAGAGATGAGTACACTGGCTGATGGAATAACCCAGGAAGCCGAGACACCAGTTCACTCACTGCCACTTTCAGCAATTAGAATGGGCACTGAAGTCACTAAGAATGAAACGTAACACTTCTTGGCATTTCCCCCCCTTGCACAAAGCGCATAATCTACCACCTAGCCAAGCCCCAGCCTGGACACAGCTGTTTTTCAATCAGAAAGCCTCACATGCTGGGTGAGAGGGGAGAGCAAGGCACACACCCCACACAATGCACATCCCTTGTAATGCAGAGGAGCTGCTGTTTGGCAAGCAGCCAGGCTCAGAGTTCTTGGGGATCCCGCTGGAATAGTGTAGTCAGCCTGTGCCACAAAGAGGTGCAAAAAGCTCTTACCTCTAATATTCAGTTTTTCTATTGGCTCTCCTTGTTCAAGTTCCTTATTTTTAAAGTAGGCTATAGATGTGTCTTTAAAGACAAACCAGTATTGCTTGAAAGCTTTTAACATTAGCTTCTTGGGCCTGCAAATTAAAGTACAGCACATGTTTAAACACCAGTCGGAACTGCAGAACACCTTGCAAATTTTGAGAGGATTAAGGCCTTGGTTTAACATATTCTTTATTTTTAAAAAACAATTTCTAAATTTCTGGTTTTACTTCTACTTTTTTCTAATGGTGCCGAGGATTAGACCCAGGGCTTTGGGCATGCTAAGTGCTGAACCACCAACTGCATCCCGAGCCCACTAACATATAAAAGCAAGAAATGAACCCTTGCTGTGTGATGCATAAATTAATGCAAAGGCCCACGAGTCAGAAGTCAGACCTTGGGTCCTTGTTCTTCCTCTGCCACTGTGAGGCTCCTAACAGAGGAGGCAGGGGTTGGCTGTCTTTGAGTCTTTCTGGCTCCCGGGACGCTATACCTCATATTAGGTTGCTTTGTCCAGTCTTACTGCAACTTGATATACCATGTTTTGTTGATATCCATGGGAGGCCTGTCCTTTCCTGAATAGAAATGGAAGAGGAGGGGATAGGGGTGGGTGGGGCAGAGGGGAGATTGAGGGAGGGCTGAGAGGAAGGGGGTGGGGATTTCAGTTCTCCCTCAGTCTCAATACATACATACATACATACATACATACATACATACATACATACATACACTTTTTTGACCTGGTGGTGGTGATGGTACACACCTATAATCCAAGCACTGAAGAGGCAGAGGCAGGCAGACCTCTGAGTTTGAGGCTAGCCTAGTCTACAGTGTGAGTTTCAGGACAGCTAGGGATAGATAGTGAAAACCTGTCTTGAAAACTCATAGACAAACAAAAATAAAACCAACAAACCCAAAACATTTTGAATACCTGGCTCCCTGACTTTTGTGTATTTATAAACAGTAACACTGTACGACTAAACACATTAAACCTATACAAAAATATAAAGTAAATGAAACATTAAGCCCATTTCAAGAAAAGAAGCAGTTACTTACTCAAAACCTATCTCAGCTGTGATTACTGGGCCATGATTATTGGCAACAGGGTAAGCATGCAAACATTGCAGAATAGTTTAAAAATGTTATCTTTGGGGGCTGGAGAGTTGGCTCAGCAGTTAAGGGCACTTGCTGCACCCACGTGGAGATCACAACCATCTGTAACTCTATTTCCATGGGATCTGATGCCCTCTTCTGGCTGCTGTGGGCATTAGGCATGCACATGGTGTACACACACACACACACACACACACACACACACACACACACACACACACACAGTTGAAACACTCATATATGTAAATAACAAAAATAAAAAAATCTAAAAAATCTTCACAACATTACTATCTTCCAAAAACTGGTTATACTGTCATTACTTCACAATCACTTGTTCCTTCAAGGAGAAATACGTGTGCTTACTGTTTTGGAACCATGTGGCAGCTAACAAGTGATGATACGCATGGGATACTTAACTTTTGAAAAAGAAAACCTCACAATGCCACTTACTGACATTTGTCTACATGAAGCCAGTGAGTCTTGTGGTGGGTCTCTCTGTTTATTTATGAAGTATTGCAAAGATCCTGGAATATTTTAAGAGTCTTGTCTTGAAATAAATCAGCGAACCCCTACAGCTCATGTATAAGTATTACTAGAAATCCCTTGCTGTGGTAGCTTGCCTAGAAATAACTCTGTGGACAAATTTTTCTGCAGCATTCCTATTAACTGTTCATGGAGCCATTGTATCTGGTCCAAAGTGGCCTTGGTAGCAGTGGTGGTGCCTAGCAGCTTTGGCATGCAACCTGTCACATGCGTCATTTCTTAGGAGCACCAAGACTTATTAATCAGCTTTTCTCCAATGCGGAATTTCTTAGGATCGTATTTGTCTGGTGTATATGTACAGACCTACAGGAATCAGACTTGAGAGGTTTGACTGAGCTCTCTCTCCTCTCAGAATTTTCCGGACCACTTCCTGTCAACACTGGCTGTCCTTGTGACACAATTACCCATATGACGTAGCTGCCCATGTGACATGGCTGGGCTGTCACCTCTCTGATGTTTTCCCCTAAGGAGTCCATCCTTTTCTTCCTCTCATATTAAAGACTTTTCATTATCAATGGTTGAGTTTACCAAGATTTAATGATTTATCTTGCCCAAGACCCGTGACTCATGAATTTAAGGACTTTTACTTTCAAGGAAAATCTTTTATCTTTTGAATGTTTCATTCTCTCCAACTATTTCCTCTAGAACTCCCAGGAGACACAGGTTGGGACTTCCTAGTCTATTTAAGTCATATTTTTAATTTTTTGGATTTTCTTTGATGATATTAATAATTTGATGGTTAATACACTAAAATAAATAAAAATTTTAGTTTGAGCCAGGCTTTCACTATGTAGCCCAGGCAGATCTCAAACTTGCAGTAATCTTCAACTCTCTGCCTATCAATTTAATATTACTATTATACACATGTCATCTTCAGAATGCCCATTTTGATACTTTCAACAATTCATGTTCTCTTTTGTTATAGTTTTTACTTTTCAATTTACTGGTTAAATGTTGTAATCACTTGATAGTTTCTTAATATTTTAACATCTAAAATTATTAATGGCCTAACAACTCACACAACTGTGATTTTTAGCGGGAACTCACATTGTTTTCCACTAAGTATTTTCCCTCTAAGTATATTCAGAACTGCAGTTGCTAGGTCTTCACAGGTCTTGTGGTTCAAACCAGTTTCCTTTTAGATTCCATTATCATTCGAGACACTTAGGTTACCTCAGTCTGGATGAAGCGTGCACCCTGGCTCTGATCCCACAAGAGAGGCCTTCTGTTTTCCCCACAACTGGCATTGCAAGGATAGTGCGCCCTCTGCTTTCTCCAGCTGGCCTGTAGTTTTCTTATTTTGTACTGAGCAGGGAAGATGGCCCTCATGAGTTCCCACCTTCCCCGGTGAACTTCCGTCTGGCTTATTGCTGTTTGTGACCTGTAGAGCTGTATGTCTTACATTTATGTAGAAATTAAAATACCAGCCCCAGCCAGGTATGGTGGCACACATCTTTAACTCCAGCACTTGGAGGCAGAGGCAGGTGGAACTCTGTGAGTTTGAGCCCAGCCTGGTCCATACAGTGAGTTCCAGGTCAGCCAGAGTTACATAGAGGCCTGTCTCAAACCAAATGACCAAGCTGACCATCTAACACAGCAAGACAACAGATACCAGTCCCAAGCCATGAGAACCCAATTCCTTGTGGCTGCAGCTTCATTTTATGAACATTTTTGTTGTTTGCCATCTATTAATTTTCACAGCATTTGAATGCACTTACAGCCAGATTGGGGTGTGCGTTAGACCCAATGTCGTGTTGCAAGAGGCTGAAGTTCACTGTTCAATAGTGATAGTGGGGGCAACAGAGTTTAGAAAAAAAATAAAGAGCTTCCATGTACAAAGACTAAAAAGCCGACCTCAAAGGATTCGTCTACTGTTCTCATATCAACGAGGAAAGGAACTCAGGGCAATGCAGAGCCTTCTGGACCCAACATTCTACTAGCAAAGCCCCTGTACTCATTTCCTAGTATTCCTCCTTCCCTTCCCACTCTCTGCCACTCTCTCACATAGCCTTGCATCTTCCTTTCTACATTTTTCCCATCCAGGAGCACTACTGTGTTACTATTACTATATAGTAAACTTGGTGTCTTGAGACGTTTGGTAGACAGTGTCTATTCAACATATACAAGGACAATCTTAGTGACACTGGGTGTGAGTTACAGTAAAGCCACCAGGCAGCAGCAGTGAAGAGGATATAGGCCACTTTCAACATGTAAAACACTGTGACATCTACAGGAAGGGGCTGATGTGCTGGCTATACTCTATTCAGAGACTATGAAAACCAAATTTCTTTGTGAAATAATTATACATATTTTATAAAGCTACATTTGCCATGTCAAATTACCCTTTTCCCCTGGAGCTCTGAGTATCATTAGGCTAAGCCATTGTAGTTACAGCTGCTTGTGCCACAGAAGTTACCTGAGAACATATTGTATCATCACAACAAAAGACCAAACAAACCAATGCTAGATACCCAGTGACAGATGACATCTTTGGACCCTTGCTGCTCATGTAGACTCCCTTCACAATTTAGTCTTTGCAAGTCCTTCTTTGCTTGTTGTATAGTCAAAAGCAACTTGCATTTTTCTCCAAGCCAGTTGCCCCGGTGAAGTATTGGCTTGTTAAGAAAAGTCAATAAACCATAAATCGACACAGTGATTGCCTTGTTTCTCCAGTGTAACGCTCTCCCAACTGAGCTATTTCGGCAGCTACTGCCTTGTTTCTTTCAACTTAACACTCCTTGGCACTATCACAAGGGTGGCAGTCACCCATTAAAACAAACAGAAACAAGCAGATTGACCAACGCCGAGCAGGTGAATGGAGGTTAATAAAAGTGACTACTCCCTGTAAGCCCAGGAACAAAGAACTAGAAATAAACAATTATTACACTGCCAAACAGCTCTCTGATGGTGTCAGGGTCCTGACCCTCACAAGCAGACCCTAACAGAAATGTCGTTGTGACATACGTGCTCATTCTTGCTGACCTGCTCATGCTTACTACACAGTTCTGAGAGTACATATGTGCCAGGCACTGTGCTACATTCTTCAAATGTCTCATTTTATCCAGTGCTCCCAAAAAACTCAAGAAGAGGTATATCCTCGCTCTACAGCTTGGAAAACTAAGGCACAGAGTCACAAAGACACTACTCGAGGTGGCCAATGCATGTATTGGGGGGTTAAGATTCAACTCATTGTTGTCTATGCCAAAGCCCATAACTCTGAACCCACCTTTGACCCAGAAACCTGCCCACTTGTTATGCAATTATGTCCAATTCCAGACCCTACTTGAGAGGGACTGTTATATGGCGATCTTTTGCCCTTTCAAATTACTTACCTAAATAATTTGAGGTAATCTGCAAGTTTAGGGATATCGGTAATGTCCTCCTAAGGAGAAATACAAAAATTACCAGCAGGAACTTCACAGATGGCATTGCTAGTCAACACCTGTCTCACTCAGCATGGCAATCACTTACCACAGAGACTTTAAAATCGGAAAAAATTAAAATGAAATAAAAAAAGAGACTGAGTTTTTTAGCTACATGAACCACAGTAGTTATCTCTGGGGGAGGGGTGGGGGGCAAAGGTGGATGATGATTAAGAGGCACTCAAAGGGGCTTCTGGGTAGGTGACAAGGTTCTGCTTTCCAATTCTGGATGATAACTTGGTTGACAATATTAATTTGTTAATAATCATATTTGTATTTTTTAAAAACTTTTCTTTGTGGGATAGGAATATGAAAAGAAGCAAAAAAACAACTCATACTTCTTGTACATATACATCGTTCAAGTTAAAAGTTTCAGTTAGGAACACAGACTTTCATGTATGAACAGATATTTTGTAATTTTTAAGTTAAAGTGGGCTACTATGGTAACATCCAGATCACTGATTAAACTTGAAAGGAAACTGGTTCAAAGTTCATTCCGAGGGCGGTTGATGGCTGGCTGCAGCACATAAAACTCCTGAGGGAAGGAGGGAATTTCTCATTTGTTCAAGCAGGATTAACTTCCTGTTATGTACTCAGTGTAGGTAGCAGGCAAAAAGGAGCATAAGTTTCTGCTCCAGCAGGCCGTGGCCTTGTGTAGCAAGCAAGCATTTGCTCTCCCATGAAACCACCTCCCCATTGTAAGGCAGTTACTGATAAGAGAGCTCACAATGAAAGCCTAGGAATGTTGTGACTCATTCTCAGCGCTCACTTAGATCGAAGTTTCAGCAGACCCACTGCTTGGATTCAAAGTCATTAAGCCAGAAATTATTCCCTTGGCTGAAGAAGTTAAAACAAAAGAGCAGTGCCCAGGGAAAGAATCAAACCAGGGTGGCCTTCCAATTACAAGGCTGTCATTCAAGCACCTATGGGGAGAGGAGCAAGCTTGATAACTAGTTTTCTTCCTTAGGTATGACTGGAGGGTTTTAGTTCCTGAAATCAAAATTGTTTAGGAGTGTTTGATGAGATCCTTGATCAGTGGTTCTCAACCTTCCTAATGCTGCAGTTAATACAGCATTAATACAGTTACTACAGCATTGGTATACTTTAATACAGTTTCTCATGTTGTGGTGAGTCCAACTATAATATTTTTTCAATACTACTTCTTAACTGTAATTGTGAACTATATCCTGATATATAGGATCTCTGAAATATGACCCCTGTGAAAGGGTCATTCAACCCCCCAATGGGGCGCTACTCACCGGTTGAGAACTGCTGTTCCAGAGACAGGCCTTCCTCTCTATCAGCCTTACTCAGTAACAACATATTGCCAGGCACCAAGTCTTTTAAAGCTTTTTCTTCATCCTCATAGGCTCCCAGTGCCATAGGCTGTACAGCTCTTTCTAGACTTAAAGGATCAATGGCATGCTCTGTGCTAGTGTAGTGGAGCCCATTGGAATTTTCCCACATACTGGGCCAACTGATCTCCAGGAAGAAATGCTGTATAAACTTTCATTGGTGGTGATGAAATGCTCTTACAGACCCTTGCAGAGCTACTCTGAGAAAAGCCGGTTCTTGCTGAATTTAAGCTTGTCACATGAGCAGCATATTTTCCTTTTTGGAAGAAATGTTCTTTTAGTTCCAATCTATGTTTGTCAGAACAAACCCCGAGGTACCAGAAGTGTTCATACCAGAGTGTTGTCAGTCTTCCCACCTTCGAGGGTCACTTCCAAACTAGACAGTGCAGCTTCCACTTCGTCAACCTCGGACTTGGTTGCAAAGTCCTGTATTTCAGCACACAGTGACAACTTGCTGATGTGATACTAAAACATAAACAGAGGGTTTATTTTTATTTAGTTAAGTTAAACTAATATACATTTTTGAGGCTGGATCTTGCTAAATCCTTCAGGCCAGTCTCAAATTCTCTAAGTAGCGTAATCTGTCTCAGTCTCCCTCATGCTGGGATTACAGGCATGCTCTACTTCACCTGGCTCAAGATGGAGGTTTTAGAAATGTTACAGCCACAAGTGGACCATTAACCAAGTCTTCTTCTTCCAGGAGAATTTCCCTGGAATCCTGGACATCTCCTGGAAGGAGATCTGTCTATGCAGGAAAATGATGTGCAGTTGGACTAATTTTGAGACTTAAAGTTAGTTGAGCTCAAACTTAGTTCTGCCTTGTCTCTGCATGTGAGAGGCAGGTGATAGAAACTGTAGAATAGATACCTTATATAGTGCGCACACGGATAGATTGTGAGGAGCATTTTACATTGAAAATTACTCTCTTAATTTCTTCCATCACAGAAACAAATAGAATGCTGTAACAAGAACAAACTTTTCTTGCCCCACTCATCAAGAAAGGTTTCAGACATCCCCACAACCTGTAGTGCTGCAAAGATCAACATCTCTTCTTCTGTGCAGTCGATTTCCTCCAAGAGAACTGCCCACCTGGCTTGCTCGTAGAGTTGGTTTATTCGAACAGCGTCATACTAGAGAAAGAAACAAATGTGTACATGAGTATGAGCATTTATTTATAGCCTGCAGTGCAAAAGTTCTTAAATAACTGGGGCCATTCTCTGTGAATCACATGCTATCTTCATGTTGCCCACCCTGGTCCTTTGCCATCTGAGGTTAGAAGGAACTTTCCCTAAATATCTTCTAGAACTTCTTCAAGAAGCCAAATTAGTTCATCTTTGGTGCCATGACTTTTCCTCTCTGTTTCATGTTTCTGTTGAGAGTAAAAACATGTACTACATGATCGGTCATCAAAGCGAAGCTAATCTTCGAACTGCCATTCCAAGGAGAATCTGACAGGGACTTTTAAAATGGAACTTTATACCAATTCTTTAGGCATACTAGAAGATATAACCCTCAGGTGTTGACAGGACAACTTTGAAAAAGAACCACATTGAAAGAGACCCTTGTACCACCAGACACCAAACACAGTAATCACAATAGCATGCTATTGCTTGTGATGGACACCTGTTACTAATACACATGTATATATATTTACTAGAAAGTGAGAACATTAAATATAGCAATTAAAACACACAGGTACACACAGGTTTTTGGGGAACAAAAGTCCCAAACAAGGAAAAAACTACACCACTCCAAATTAACTGACATACAGATTAAAGAATTTAAACATACAAGACCCCATTGGGTCCCACCTCATATTAGTATGATGACCCTTTTATCATCCCAAACTGCCACCTGTAAGGCCCTGCATGGACCCCAGAGGCACCTTGAGCAAGCCTGAGCTGTTGGCTGGAACATTCTGCAGTTTTATCTGGAACATCTTGTGCCAGAGTAGTATTTGGTACTCTTCATGTTTGCTATCACACATCTGCTGGGGAGGAGCTAAGGCCTGAGAACTTGCACACTTGACTCTTGATTGTTTTCCACTGTGTTGTGAGTCAGTATATAAGCCCGCTCCATCCCTTCAATAAATGACATTTGGCATTCTGCATCCCAGCATTCCTGTTGCATGAATGACATGCTGTCTTGTCTTTTATTTAAACCTCTAGGCCTTCACCAGATTAGTGGAACAGAGTGTGGCAGGGCGCTACAGCCACCCATTAAATAATACCTCCCTTCTCCTCCCTCAGGCCTAAGTGACATCAGAACACTTTACTTCTGTCTTTCTGGATGGATAGATAGATCTGCCTAATCTGGGTAGTGCATATAAGTGCCTTATTGCTTCTTTCAAGTAGTTCATCTTTGGGGATCATCCATGTTACAGCATGAACCAGAATCCCCTTCCTCTTAAAAGCCACTATCTTAGTTGCTTTTTTATTTCTATGACAAAACACCATGACCAAAGCATTTTATAGAAGAAAGAGTTTATTAGGAGCCTACAGTTTGAGGGTGAGTTGTGCTAGTGTTGGGAAGCATGGCAGCAGGCCAGCAGGCATGATGCTGGGACAGTAGCTGAGATTTTATGTCCTGGTACGTAAGCAGAAGATGGAAAGGAGAGAGAGCTAGTTCGGAATGGCATGGGGTTTGAAACATTAAAGCACATCTCCTCAAATGAGGTTACCCCTCCTAATCCAAAACAAAAGAACCATTGTATTGTACATTTCCAGTATGTATATTATTTTAAAATTACTTTCTGGTGGTTTTGTGAAAGAAAAGGTCTTACTCAGCCCAGGTTAGTCTCCAAATTGTTATGCAATCTAGGCTTGAACTCTTGATCCCACCGCTTCAGCTTCTTGAGTGCTGGAATTATAGGCATGTGCATGATGCCTGAATTCCAGTGAATGAGTTTTATGGTACATAAATTATAGTTCAGTCAAGACTTGGCAACTAAAAGAAATTTACATGAATCCAGGTTGGTGATGCATGCTTATCATCTCAGACACAGGGAACCTGAGGTAGGAGAATCATTTGGTCACAGGAGTTAGAACAGTCTCCTCTTAAAAACTGCTAGGGGGTGGTGGCACACACATTTAATTCCAGAAGTCAGGAATCAGAGACAGGCAAATCTGAGTACAGAGCAAGTTTCAGGACAGCCAGGGCTCACAAGAAACCTTTCTCAAAAGAACCAACCAACCAACCAACCAACCAACCAACCAACCAACCAACCAACTACTCCAAAAGCCAAGCAGTCACTGCCACACACAAAAGAGGCCTGCCTTAATTCACAGATTATAGACAAGATCTAAATAGTGATGTAGTCACTGATGCTTAACTTGACTGTCAACCTAGATGTCTCTCAGCCCTTCAGTCCTAGTATATCTAAGTATTAATACTACAGGAACTCAATGGGCCACTCAGCAAGGTTTTCCTCTCAGTACTCAATAAAGATTTTAAAAGTATGATAAAAGCTCTCACACCTAAACATTTTTACATGCTCCATAAACCAAATAAAATAATGTTGTATAACATACACTAAGCTATAATCACCTGCAATTACAAGTTAGCAGTAGGAGATGGATAGGATCTGAAATAAGATGCTCAATAGGTCTGAAACAAGGGCTCAAATGCTGGTCAAGTCTTGCCCCCAGATCTATCCAGGGACTTTCTATTGGTCCTGCCTGGCTTTGGGATTTCCCCCTCAGAGGTTGTTTTTCCCAGGCAGGTGTAGAAGGAATTGTTTGCAGGTCATTAACAGGTATCCTATAGGTTTCTGTCTTTAGTTGCTCTTCATTGTTTTAGGAACAAGGTTTTCCCAAGTGGGTAAGGTGGATAGTTCTATGGTAACTTGGCACCAGCTAAAGTTACCACAGAGGAGGGATCCTTATTTAAGAAAATTCCTGTAAGGCATTTTCTTAATTAGTGATTGATAGGGGGAGGGTCCAGCCAATTGTGGGTGGTACCACCTCTAGGCTACCAACTCTGGTGGTCCTGGGTTTTCTAAGAAAGCAGTTTTAGCAAGCCATGTGGAACACCCTCACATGGCTTCTGTGTCATCTCCTGCCTCCATGTTCTTGCCCTATATGAGTTCCTGTCCTGACTTCTTTTGATGAACAGTGATGTGGAAGAATAAGTCAAATAAACCCTTTCCTCCCCAAGTTGCTTTTGATCATGGTGTTTCATTACAATAATGTAACCCTAACCAAGACACTGGGGATGGGCTACTCATGTTAATGCTTAGCCTTAGGCTTTCTGTCTCCTGATTGACTTAAGCTAGAAAGCCATACCTTGGAGGACATGGATCCTCCCATCTCTGTTATACACATCCCTGTTTCTGTCTCTGTCTATCTCAGTAGTTCAGTGAACCCTTTCCCACATATCAACCATGATACAACAGCAATAAACCTGTATCACCCTTTCCATGTTCTCAAGAAAGCTTACTGCTTACATTTGACCACAAGATTCTCTGCTGGGAATGGAGGCTAGTATGCTGGGGTCCTCTAATGTGTTTATTGCTTATAAAACTGGAAGATACTGGGGACTGTCAGAGCTAGAAAAAGGCTTATTTTCTTAATTCACATATTATAAACATATTAAAAAGGGGCCTAGTGTTTACAAGAAACTAAGTGAGTTGACTCATTCTTTTTAACAACAGTGTGGTATGGATGCAGCATAATATATTCAAGTCATTCTCTACTAAAGGACATTTAGGTGCTTTCCAATCTTTTCTTAAAACCATTCATGCAGTATCTATAGTAGTAATGTATAAAGTTACAAAAGTACCACTATGCTATGAATAGTAGATTTGCAGGTCAAAGTATAGTTGTTATTCTGATAGATATTACTGCCCTTCTTTCTACAGGGGCTAGATTATTATGTATTTTGACTTACAATCACTGTGTGAGATCTGCCCTGGGTTTTATTATTTATTCAAATAATCAAAAAAACACACATATTACTATGTCCACTTTGAAAAAGATTTTGATCACTATAGTTCATTGTTTCATGTGGCAGACTTAGGCATTTTTAAAAGTTCATTGGGTTTAATACCTGACAGTGTTGGATTCTCTGCATGCAAGGCTAATAATTGTTTCTTGATAAATATGTGAGTAAATAAACTGATGGGGAAACATTTGAATAGATAAAATGAGACCAGAATACCGACTTAACAATTAAAATTGCCTGAATATAGTTTCTATGAACAATTTCAGGTAGGATATTAGAATAGAAAGCATGTAATAACATATTTTAGCTGGGAACTAAATGAGGAAAGACTGAAGTTGAACCAGGGATAAGGCTTAAAAAATGAAATCCCAAAATCCCCAGCAACAGGCATGAGAAATCTCTTTTTGAGTTGCTGATCAGGGGAGTTCAAGAGACTCATAAAGTAATGTAGGCTATAGATGTCACCTTTGGTTGCCTCCCAGAAGTTGAAAGAAAGTCCTTGTTGGCGACACCATAAATTTCAGTCACACGACTCAGAGGTTTATGAACTAAATCTGACTTGAAAACCTGCCACCTGGAGTATAGTACCAGAAGGTGCTTTGCAAAATGCCAAGAAAGAAAACCAATTAAAACTCCCACCCAGCTGTGACACCTGTGAACTACAACAGTGACCAGCATGGCAAGATATTCCTAATCATGCAATAGTGGCACTCATATCTTGGCAGTAACCGACAGCTTTCTAATTAGACTCAAGTCTCACATAATAGGAGGAATCATGCCTGGTACTGGAAACCTAAGAGAACCTACTACTGTCACTTTCCTAAACAAGTATAATCTCTCAATTCATTCTAAATATCCCTATACCCACAGATCAGTGTAGCTCTCATTCCTTATCAAAGGATTTCCCCCCTATATCTGGTCAAAATGCAGAGAACAATGGACTGTAGGGTGCTAGACCCAACTGATACATCTACAACACATTTGCTACACTCAAGACTCAGAACATTCTGGTAGATGGAAGAATGGTTGGAAAGATCCTAACAGTCAGATGACCAGAAAGTCTGCTATGAGATTGTGTCTTTCAGATCTGACAGAGAAGATATCAAATCTCAACAATGTAGCTACCCAAATAAGACCGGAACAATCTAGTAACAGTTGACTCCCAACATGAATGGTTGAAGCCTCAAGGTGTTCCATCCATAGATAATGACCAACAAAGTATCAATGACAGCCCTGACCTGGATAACAAAATGAAAAGTATAGAACTTCCATGCACACACATCACAAAAGGAAAACAAAATGAAACAAAAGAACAATTTCTTACTTTAGGATTCAAGTCAAAGAAGGTGTAGTATTTAAATCTTAACAGCAGTTGCTCATCCTCTTGAATGTTTTGTTCCATAAGGGATCTGGAGGAATCCAGCCAACTAGGGAGCAATAGGTTATGATTTAAAAACCAGTCCACTTTATTCATATACCCACTACATTGTGTTGCATATTGCATGCTACATAAATCCAAGAATATGGGCAGGGCAAATAATATCAACAAAACCAATGAGCACATAAAAGCTATATTTGTAATTTACCATACAGTCGCCCCTGCCACTGCCCCCATACAGGGCTTTTCTGTGTAATAGCCATAGCTGTCCTAGAAATCGCTCCCTTCCTCCCTCTGTCTCTCCCTCCCCTTTTCCTGAATCTCAATATGTAGTCCAAGCTGGCTTTGAACCTGTGATCCTCTTGCCTCAGCTTCCTGAGTGCTAGGATTATAGACATGTAGACATGTTCCACCATGCCTGGCTTTATCTTGGTGTAGCAGATGACGTGACCAAGTCACAGTGAGTTAGATGATTTTTGCAGGGTTATGGTGGAGCTAGCATGTAACTCTGCTTCTGCCTTTAAGTTCTGCTACTCCACTGTGGTCAGCCCAAAGCTAGGGCTACCTTAGTCAGTGTCCAGCCTTTTAGCAAGCAACATTCTGTAATGATGGAAAGTCCTCCCTTGTGCTGTGCAATGCATTAACCTCTAGCCAGATGTGGCTATTGAGTATTTAAATGTGAGTAATGCTGTATCTTAATTTTAACGAAGGAGAAGCAGTAGTCTATAAAATACAGCAGGAGCTGAGTTGACCACCTTCAATGTCTCTAATGGGTTCACAGAGACCGCCGTTTGTATAAATTACTCTGCACCCCCCCCCTTTTCACACCTGTAACAGCATCGAGAGTCACAGTCATGTTTGGTGAGCCCTCAAGTTATTTGATGACGATTTTCTCTCTCTTTTAAGGTACTGAGACCACCATAGTGTGTGTACATTCATTTTTTTTCTGTTAAAGTTAGCACTCTGAATTTTGCTGAGAAAGCACAACACTCTTGCCTATTCACTAAAAAATTAGATAGCCCCCATCTTTTTGATACATCTTAGTGTATGAACACCAGTTCAGACAGGAGATAGACAGAATGTCCCTTACCCTGCATTCATCTTGGCTTTGTCCACCAAAGATCGAGGCTGGAACATGTCAGCGAGTACATCTGGTGATGGGGGAGGTTGGCTGAAGGCCAGAACATTGCAGTTTTGCTCTGTCAAAGGGCTGTCACCAAACCAAGTCATAGTGGATAAGGCTGGCATCCCATTGATGGGGTCATAGATGGGTGTCATGGTCTTACTGTACAAGCCAGGGCTTACTGTGAGGCAGGAAAATGATAGGGCATTTGGGTTATGAATATTTAGAAGAAGGTTATACTAAAATGAATTTTGATTTTAAATGTCAGGCTGGTAGGAACATCAGTTGCACAGATAAAGATCTTGTCTAAATCTTCCAGTCCTGGGATCCCAAAGATGTAAAAGTTGCCAAGATCAACACAAATAAATGTTGCTAAGTAAGTCCTTTCTAAGCATTCAAAGTTCTCTGTTTCATGCAGTTAGCTCATGAACTGCTATATATGGAGAGAAAGGGCGTGTGCACACACACACACACATACACGCATGCACGCACACATACACACGCACGCACACATGCACGCGCGCGCGCGCACACACACACACACACACACAGATAGAGATATTGATTGATTTTCCTTTGGAGTCTAAGCCACATTTGAAACAGCCCCTTACCTGGAGACCCCGAGCTTGTTGAAGAACTGTCCAGGTTCAGGACGTCATCAACTGCAGACTCTTTGTTATTTTTGTCTTTCTTCTTTTTCTTCTTAGAATAGTCACCAGAAGGCTTTAACAATGAAAGTTCTTCTGGTCTTCTAATATCTAAAACAAAACAAAGTAACAACTAACATAAACAAAAAGCAAGAAAACTAAATAGAAAAAGAATTCCTCCTGAGACTCAGCTGTGCTGTGTATTTGATGGGTCTTAGGGGACTGTGGCTGCAAAGGGAAGTCACTGCATCCCATTTGAAGGGACAAAGACTCTCAAGCTGGGTAAGGACAAATAGTGACAGAAGTTCAGCCTAGCACAGTTTCTAGCTTGTGTTTTGATTTGTGATGAAAATTTTTTAAATACACCCAGAGCAAAGGGAGTGGTGTAACGCCCTCTCTATGGGTTTGCTATCCAGCTCCAACCATGGTCAACACTGTGGGGCTCCTGCATCATCCATGAGCAAGCAACTTTTCTCTTTTTCTTCCTCTCCCACTTTGGTCTCTCTCTTTGGTTTTGTCAACAACTACAAAGGGCACCATATCCTTTTATTCTTTGTGGACAGTTGATTCTGTAATCTTTTTTCCTACACAATGCCTACCATTTCCTGCCAACGCTGTGGAGGTGTCCTCCTGTCCTGCCTCGCCTTCTGGGTCTCCATCATTTCAATGCTATTATTTTAACTGACTTCCAATAGTTTGAGAGCATTTGTGTGTCTGTAAAGGGCTCGTTCTGGCAGCTAGCCATGTTCTGCACTGCCCACCTCCAGCAGTCCATGTGAGAGGATTCATGCTCTCCAAGAAGGGCCTTCCGTGGTAGGCTTCTCTTTTGGTAACATCACCCTCCTGGGACAGCCCAGAGCTGTGTCTACACACTGCGTCCCAGAGGTCCTGGCTGTCCACAGTGATACTATTCCTGGAAGACATATGTTTATAATCTCTCTCCTATGTATCTATGTTCCAGATAGTATCTCTGGGCATCAGGACCTCAGTTCTAGATTCCTTATCTCAGAGTCTGCTTTGGAAGAAAGTGAGCTGTGATAACCCTTCCCTGATTCATCCAAGAGTGCAGCTGTGACCAGAACTGCTGATAACCCATGGAGCAGCTTTGATCCAAGGAAGTGGCTGCTTTAAGGTGCTGCTCTCTTAGATCCTCTCATCCAGTCAGTCATGAACTGACTGGTGCCCAGAGGCAAGAGCAATTTGGCTGACTCTCTCTATCATCCAGGATGCCTGACTGTCAGGCTACAAAACACCCGGAGCCATCCCAAATGTATGCTTAATGCACACCTGATAACTTAAATATTGTAGTGTATGCATCCAACAATCAACAAAGCAAAACCCTTCCACCCAAGATCTGTGCCTCTTCCGGTCTTCTGGGGAAGCTGCCATACTGCTAAGTCTGAGCTAGTGCTGATTGATTAGGCTTAAAAGCCATGATCAGAGATGCTGAGCAGAGATCTCTCTTCATGTGTCTTCAAAGCCATGGTTAGAGAAGAGAACAGGACTGCTTGGCCTCAGCTGTGACTTGTCACCTAGTCCATGTGGGATATGGAGAAGGTCTTTTTATTGGATGGCTCACTTGGTGTTCAAATCCTCATTGGATTACTACTAACAACAACAACATGTCTTTGTGCTTCATTCACATTTTCTCATGCCATGTTGGGGACACTCCAGGAACTTGTGCTCTGCAACTGGCTGTTCCATGCATTGACTGGTTCACTAAACAGCCACCAGGCAGCCCATGTGGGCCAGACATTGATATACTGGGGTTGTGGTTTCTGTCCTAATCCCATTTCAGGCTATCAGAACCCCTAATGTTTAACATGGGCATTCCTAAATCTTTCCTTCATTTGCTCTACCTCCCATTTTAGGGCTCTTTACTCCTTTCCTTGCTGATTTGCTGGCTATCCATCTGTGCCTGTTTCAAAGGGCAAGATTTCAGCTATCTTCATCAGCGTCTACTGTTCATCACACTACCCAATGCACAGTAAGCTCAGTGAGCCTTTTTGGAGTGAATGAACAATGCATCTTATAGTTTAATGGAGGAGGGTAAAGACTTAGAGATGTGTAATAGTCTGTGATCATGTGCTGGATGGTGATGCATAATATTCTTGGTACCAAAGAAGGCATCCACACATTTTCAAAAAATAGGAAGTAAGAAGCATTCATGGTACAAGGGTCCCTCTTTCTACAGTGTATCATAAAGGAAAAAAGTAATCTGAGTAGTATTGTCTCTGTGAAATTATACCATACCAAGAGACACCAATTCATCAGGTGAGTCTGGTGGCACATGACGGTGATCCCAGTTTTTAAGCCTGAGACAGGAGGATCACAAGTTTGAGGTAAGCCTTGACTACATAGTAAGAGTATATTAAAAAAAAAACCCAGCAAAATAACATTTGGCTTCTATCCACATAGGTGGGTGTATGTGTGTGCAGTGTGTATGTAGATATTTGTGTATATGCAGGTACATATGCACCTGTGTGCTCGTGTGTGAGGCTAGCAGATATCCTTGGCATTGTTTCTCAGAAGCCATCCACCTTGTCTTTTTTGAGACAGGGTCTCTCACTGGCCTGGACCTTGCCAAGTAGGGCAGGCTAGTTGGCCAGCAGATCCTAGGGATCTGCCTGTCACTGCCTCCTCATTGCTGGGATTACAGGTGTGTGCTGTTGTGCCTGTCTTTTTAAAATCATGGGTCCTGGGGATCGGCAAGGCAAGCCCTGGACTGATAAGCTCTGTTCCCAAGGAGAACTTTTCTGCTTAAGCTTCCTAAATGACTTCTTTAGGTAGAGTTATTTATAGGAGCTGAGTACTAATGAAGGGATTGAAGTGTGCAGTGCCACCAACCCAAAGACAGAGATGTGTCACAATGAAGGATGCAACAAAACTCCCATTCTTTGGTTTGTCTTAAATATCTGAGTTTGGTTTGGAGAAACGAGTTGGGAGAAGCACTCTTAACATGACCACTTCTACTTACAAGTGTAGTTTAAACAATTGCAAGCTCATGGAAATGACTCTGACTTATGCAAATAGTGTTCTTTTCATTTCATTCCGATGGGCCGGCTGTGGTGCTCTGCACTGGGCTTGGGAATTTGCTTCCTTGTAAAGGAGGCTCCTCCAGCCAATGCTTGAGGCAGGCAGAAAGCACAAGTAACTTTCCTGTTTTCCTTTGCCAAGAGTCTAAAGGGCACAGTGGTGGCCCCTTCAGGGAACTCACTCAGCACTTTGCAGATATCAGCAACAGCCTTAAACACCACAGCTGAAAAGCTGACTCGAAGCCGCACAGTCTTGGCATTGGGTAGCCGAAGGCGAAGCATTTTGTGCTGTGGGGTGAAGAGGAGCTTGGCGTCCGCCTGGACTCCACACTTGTCCAGAGTCCAGTGGGTTTTCAGAAGCCAGCAGCGTTTCTGCTCCCACCACAGAGCAAAGTCTGACCAGTCTTGGGCTATGTCTGGGAAAGTGGAAAACGGGGTTGAACATATAAGAGGAGGTTTAGCACGCAGGTTCCAGACGCGTTAGTCTATTCACAGGCAAAGCACTAACCTTTAGCTTACAATCTCTTTTTATGGTTCAAGACTTAACAGTTCTTAGCTTCCTTCCAAAGTCTCCCAGGAGGGGCAGGGAACAAATGGTGTCTGAACTCTACCCTCATTTACATTTAAGTATCATAAAAAACATAAAGCAAAAGTTTTGTTCTGATGAATGCTAAACCACACCCCCAATCATTCTGTGCATCAGTCTTGATTGTTTACTCAATCTTAATTTGTATTAGAAACTAATTCTTTCACTTCTGGATCACAAGGGAACACTGCTTGCTGGTTCCCACAGGCTGCACAGAACATGGAAAGCTGATGGTTTATTCTGCTCAGTGATGTCCAGCTCCTCCAGCAGCTTGATATGTGCAGTTTGCAAAGCACCTGCCCTGACACCAGAACTGCACGTTCTCCTTTTCAGACTTGCCGACATCAGTATCAAGGGCGAAATTTCTCTTCGCCAGCATGAAGTCAATCCCGTCTTTTATTTTGCTAAATTAAGGGATGTCACCACTTTAATTTAATTTATTTGTTATTTTTCTCTCAGTGAATGTTGCCTCTCTTTAATTAGAAAGCCTTCCTCTCAATGCTCTTAGTGGAAGCATTGAATTATTTTGGAAGGTGACAAATCAGTAATTGTTCTCTGTGGCATAGGCTATATCTGCTGTGGCTGGGGTATGGCTTGAGTGTCCCTCAAGGCTTTATGAGTTGGGGTTTGATCCCTACTGGTTGGAATGAAGAGGGTGGAAATTTAACCTGACCTCTATGTTGGGACATGGAATCTTAGGAAAGTACATAGGATTAGGTATGACCATTAAAATAAAGCCCTTGGTCAAATCTAGTGGCTTTATAAGAAGAGGCAGGAGAACCAGGTGCGTGCGCGCACACACACACACACACCACCACCACCACACTACACACACATACACACCACACATACACACATATACACATACACCACACACACACACACCACACAAACACACACATACATACACACCACACACACTACACAGACACACACACACCACACAAACACACACACACCACAAACACACACACACCACCACACAAACACACACATCACACACACACCACACACACACCACACAAACATACACACACACACACACCTTGCTTCATGCTGTATGATATGATACCCTGTGTTGTTTTGAGCATCATGCTTCTGTCATCAGATGGAGTCTCTAGACTTTTAGCCAAAACCATGTGCCAAAACAACCCTCTTTTCTTTACAGTCATCTAGACTCAGGTACTTTTGTTATAACAACAGAGAAATGAAATAATGCAGTCTTCAACAGAAATACCTATCAAGAGATAATGATCATATATTCTACTACCTATATGAAATGAAAATTGAAAAAACTAAAATGTTCATCAACAGACAAATGGATAAATTGTGGTAGGTTTACACAAGAGAATATTATATAGCAACAAAATTAGATTAAACTAAACTATATGCAACAACATAGATTTCTTTCAAACATGATGTTAAATAAAAGAAAGCATCTATATAAGAGCATGTCCTGTATGAGACCATTTATATGATGTTCAAAAACAGCAAAATGAGAAGCCAGAATAGTGGCTTGGATGGATGTGGGTGGGTAGCAAGTGTGGGCTTGAGATGGGAGCAGGTAATGTTCCTTCTTGATTTGGGTGATGGTCACGTGAATGCGGACATAGGATGCATTTTAAAAAGGCCTCTATCTCACCATAAATGAGAAGCCATCATCCAAGGCTTCAAATAAATACAAACAAAATATTAAATTCCAAGGCCAGAAGAAGACTTTTCTGTCTTTGTTGGTGAGCAAATATGAAAGGACACATTAACAGCAAGCCGAGTTTAGCATGAAGTTATCAAGTATTAATAGAGAATGGACTCAGTAGTCTAATGTTATGTCACCTAAGATCACCATGATGTCACTGGTGGGATGGCCCTTCACCTTGTGGGAGTATAGCGTTCTACATTCTTAAGATCTTCAGTTTGCCACCAAAGACTCAAGCGTTTACAATGGTGGCTGGATTCACTTGAAAGTTCTTGTATGGTCCCTCTTCCTCTTCCTGGGAGAAACCAGGGGTGAGGAAGAGGAACATGCCCTCAGGAAATCTAGGGTCAGCCATGGAATGGTGAAGTAACAGAGAGGGGTGCAAACACAGAAAAATCACGGAGAAGGAAGGAATGACTTACTCATCTGTTCCACCAGTTTGAGCATCACTCCCCCAATATGCAGGTCCCCTGATACCCTCAATGTGATGTCTTTCTGTTTCTTTTCAATTTCATGGTCAACTCGGACTACAAGCTCCCAAGAAGCAGATGCAAAGTCACTGGATGACAGCATTGTGGCACAGGCAGGTGTCTTTAGGGACAAAGACAAGCATAGGTCAGAATTGGATGGTGCCAGCAGGTTGTTAGACAAAGGCCATTGTTTATTTTTAAATTTTATTTTTGATTCTTGTTCAAAACATTTTATAAGATTCCTGGCACCTAGTTACTAAATTAGAATCCTAAATGTATATATAAAACTTATAAAGATAATCCCAGCTATTTAAAATTCTTTATTTTCTTTTCTCCACTGGGGTATGTATTTTCTTTGCCCACATAATGTATCAATCTTCATTTCCCTTTCTACTAGTTTTTTATGACTTTCTATGAACTAGTTTGATAAAACACAATAAACCACGGCAATCCTCCAGCGATCTTAAAATACTCTCCATCTTTACTAATATATAATTTGTGTGTGATAAAACATAGATTTTAATGTAATAACTCAACATGTTTTATTGTGTGCAAATTATACTTCAATAAGAGTCAATTCAAAAACACTCTCCATTAAAACCATTTCTCACTAAAATCCTCTCTAGCATCTCTAATATATCTGTGTTATTATATTCCTGGATATAACTCCCAAAATAAAAACTCAGCCAAATAACTGCTTTTTAGTCATTATCTCACCTTAATGTGCACGATGGCATAGGCATGGCCATAATTATTACTGCATATTAGATTTTCTTAAGCTACTGTTTTCTTTGTATAGTATTGGGTGTCTAACCTAGGACCTTGTGCACTTTAGTCAAATGATCTCAGCAATGTGCTACAACCCCAAAGCAAGTTAGTGTTGTAAAACACACAATAACTGTTGCATAAATTACATTGATTAAGATTTTTTTTTTTGAGACAAGGTTATTCTATGGCTGGCACCTTGGAATCCTCTTGCTTCAGCTTCCTGGGTGCTGACATGACAGATTGTGCCACCACTCTTGGCTCCATAGTGTTTCTTTTAAAAATATATATTTTTGGCAAGAGATTAAAAATCTCTTGAATGCCAGGTGAAAATTTAGTCTTTAAGATAGGGTAGGAAGTTCCAACCCATGGTTTCCTCCTAACTGGAGCTGCTAAAAGGAAAGAACTCAAGTAGCACCTAGCCTGAGGTGAGCTGGTGTTTTCAGGAACATCAGATTCCAAAGCTGGCAGGACCTCAACAAAACTTGAGACGTTGGCTCAAATGACACTGCTAATTTGAGCCTTTAAAATGGTTTAAAATCATTTAAATGACTGTAAGGAATCCTTTGCACATCGCTGTGGAAGACAGTTTATGAGAAGCCCTTGCTTCACAAGGCCTATCTATCTTGAGGGACCTACTGCCCTCATACTCCTAAGGCAGCACTCCAGACCTTGACAGCCAGTCAAGGCCCAGCCAGCCTCCTTGGCTCACACTCTGAGTCACAACTAGCAAGGGAAAACATAGAGTAGGACTCAGTATCCCTTTCAACCTACCAGACCAGTAAGAAGCTGGGATAATAACAATATCCAAGGGGGCACTGTTTTCACAATAATTGGTGGATAATTAAAACACCAACGTCACCCCGCATGTTCATTTCACATGGTGTATTTGTAAGCACTAAGGGAATCACAAAAACATACCAGATACATTAACTACGACCAACCCATGAACTTGTGGACCACTGCAATCTGAACATGCAGATTGAAGGTGTTTGAATTAAACTCAAAAGTTCAGGGGTGTTTTTATAACCAGAAGCAACCCAAGGGTGCACTGAAAGAATGCAGTGGCATGCCTGTCAATACAGAGGCCCTCAGGGCAGCTTTTCTTGCATTTGGTGGTGATTGAGCTGGCCTGAATGCTTGCGCCCCTCATCAGCCTGCGGGAGCACTTCTGGGGATGCACTGTGCACCAGCTACCGTCCCAGCAGCAGATCCTCCACTCTCACCAACACTAATCTAAAAATGAGGAAACTTGGGCTGAGGGAAGGTAGGCGCTTGCTGTAAATCACACTAAATTCCATTGGGGAACACAAACACGGATCCATCCCCTTTCACTCTAAACTTACCTATTCATCACCCTGAGAATTGGGTAACTTTGCCACAGCAGGAGGAAACCACATGGATGAAATTCTAGCTTTGAACAACATATATCACTTCTAAAAACAGATCAGCAGTGAAGAGGCAATAAAAACACCCTCTCCACGGCCAACCTTGACATGGAAGTGTTTGAAGAACATTATGGTCGTCAAAACGCTCATTTCCTTGGGTCTTCAGACAACAGAGTCCTTAGTTTTCCTCGCCGGAGTGATTAAAACGTTTGTACAGACAATGAACAGATAGATCCTTTACAACGGAAATTCCTCCTAAAATTAAGGCAATCTGGTTTCCCCACATTCCTTTCCTATCTCTCCATGCCTTCGTTTTACCCTGAAGTTCTCATCCTCAACAAGCTGTTACTTGTGGAGTAAACTTCAGCCGGTGGAAGTGCACCCAAGGAGACCAAAACAGGAGGCGAAAGGCACCTTAAGGTCACCCCCCTCCCCCGGCCCGGTTCAAAGAGAATGAGGAAAAGAAAAGACGCTCTGTTTTGGAAGGTGTAGCAGGGGGTATACGCTGGTGCCCAGCCACCTGCCCCTCACCCATCAACAACAGCCCGCGTTGAACCGGAGTTACTTTGCGCGGCCAGATTACTGCACCTGAGAAGGTGATCACAAAATTATTTCAATTCAACAGCCATTTAACTGCACAGAGCTGCAAAAAAAGAAGGGGACAGGGGTCCCAAGTCCCCGCGGTGCAGATCACAACCTAGAGATCTCATCTAGGCAGTTCCAGATCTTACCTGCTATGGAGCCTTAGGCAGCGTCCAGTTTGCAGCCTGCTCGTGGAGAGCTGCGTCCCCACAGCCTACCTTGGGTGAGCAGGGCTCTCCCGGGACAGCACAAGGTTGCGGTGGGCTAGGTGACGCTGTGGGGACCTCGCGACAGCCAGTGAGTGAGCCTGGAGGCCACCGCCCAGCGCCCAGGACTGTCCCGGGGCCGCAGCGTCGCTGCTCAGGCTAGCTCGGCGGGCAGGCGGGGGCAAGTCCAGCCTAGCCTGCTAGGTCTCGCTCGCTGGCGCAGCAGAAGAAAGCTGCAAATGCAATAAGGGTTGAAGGGAGCCGCAGGGCTGCTCCTTGCAGGAGGCAAGCAGCCTGAAACACACTCCACCCCTCCCTCTCCAGTTTTATATGGCTTCTCCTGGACACCTCCAGGGTTCCGAGTACTAGTACTCTGAAGCCCTCCTCCACTGGCCCAGGTCACAAAGCCAAGCTGTTTCGCCTGCCTACCAGGTAAATTAGTCACTCCTACCCCGGGGCCCTGGAGAATCCCTTCCTGTCTGCAACTGTCTATGCCAAGCGCAGGAATAAGCCTGATCAGACAGGTGGCATGTACAGAGGCGATTCACCTCTGAGTAAGAGGGTGGTGTCAGTCCTCCAAAAAGGCGAGGCGCTTTAGGAGGAAGCCCCTCCAATCAGATCAAGTTCCGAGCCAAAGGCTGGACCACTTCGGGTGGCTCACCTTATGCAGTCATCCGTTACTTTCCTGTTGTATGTACCAGACAGCTGCCTGCCCAGGAAGTGTAGGAGACCTTGGGTAATTAACGCAGCCTGTGGAACTCCGCCCCCAAATCCCAGCTTATAGTGCACACTTGGTTGAATGTTTACTGTGTCAGGCCAGGAGCTGGGCTCTGAAGATAGTGAGGTTAATAAAACAATAGTTCTCCAACTGGAAATGAGTAGAAGCATGGGGTGGCAGCCAGTCCTTGGGAAACTTTTATGCATCATGCCTTAAAACTCAGGTACGTGCACCAATGAGGTAACTTATTTATTTATTTTTATTAAATTTGCAACAAGATTGTTTTACATGTCAATCCCAGTTTCCTCTCCCTCTCCTTCTCCCCTGTCCCCCTCCCAACCCCCTTTCTGCTCCCCAGGGAGGGTGAGGCCTTTCATGGGAGATCTTCAAAGTCTGTCATATCATTTGGTGGAGCAGGGCCTAGGCCCTCCCCGTTTTGTCTAGGCTGAGAGAATATTCCTCTATGTGGAATGGGCTCCTGAAGTCCATTCGTATACTAGGGATAAACACTGATCCACTACTAGAGGCCCCATAGACTGCCCAGTCCTCCTAACTGACACCCACATTCAGGTGGTCTGTGTTGGTCCAATGCTGGTTTCCTACCTCTATCAGACTGGGGTCCATGAGTTACTAAAACACCAAATAATTCAATTAAAAATTGGGGTACAGAACTAAATAGAGAATTCTCAATAGAGGAATCTAAAATGGCTGAAAGTGCTTGATATCCTTAGCCATCTTAGGGAAATGCAAATCAAAACAACTTTGAGATACCACCAATGAGAGTTCATGCTGGAGAGGATGTGGAGAAAGGGGAACCCTCCATCACCCCCCTGGTGGGGGTGCAAACTCATTCAGCCACTTTGGAAATCAGTATGGTGGTTCTGCAGGAAAATGGGAATCAGTCTACCACAAGATACAGCAATTCCACTCTTAGGCACATACCGAAAAGATGCACATTCACACAGCAAGGACATCTGTTCAATTATGTTCATAGCAGCATTATTTGTAATAGCCAGAACCTGGAAGCAACCTAAATTCCCCTCAACTGAAGAATGGATGGTGGAAATGTGGTACATTTACACAATGGAGTACTACTCAGCAGAAAAAAACAAAAACAAAAAACCAAAAACAACGACAACAATGGAATCTTGAAATTTGCAGGCAAATGGATGGAACTAAAAGAAACAATACTAAGTGAAGTAACCCAGTCACAAAAAGACAAACACAGTATGTACTCACTCCTATATGGATTTTAGACATAGAGCAAAGGATCACCAGCTTACAATCCACACTGCCAGAAAAGCTAGGAAACAAGGAGGACCCTAAGAGGGACATACATGGTCCCCCAGAGAAGGGGAAAGGGACAAGATCTCCCAAGCAAATTGGGAGCATGGGGGGAGGGGAGAGGGAGTTAGGAGAAAGAGAAGGGAGAAGAGGAGGGGAGAGGAGGACATGAGGGAGCAGGAAAATTGAGTGAGGGAAAGAATA